TGATAGGCCTGGGACTATGCATCATATGCGCGAGACCTGCCCTATTTCTCACAGCAGGAATATAGCACCTGCAGCTGTAGTTGGCTGATTTCATTTCTGGGGAACTGTGTCCTAGGCGCATGTCCTTTGACTGCCCTCAGACATCTGTCATGCAGTGAGGGCTTTTGCTGATGTCGGCTTTGAATGCTGCTGGGAGAGCCACAGGATCCCACTATTCCCATAGCCACACCATCTCAGCAGCAAGGGGTTTAGGGTCTTCTTGGTGCTCTGACAGTGCTTCTCAATGTGAGCTAAAACCATCCACAACAGTCCTACTGTCAGCTGGACATGCTGGATTCTTCAGTTGGACATGATCTCTACTGAATCGCTCATTGCCTTGGTGATTCGGAATAAAGCGCTGGGCACTGGTATCTTACATCTGCAACCCTAGCTACTTGGAAAACTGAGATCTGAGGATCATGGTTCAAAGCCAGCTCAGGTAGGAAAGTGTGATTCTTATCTCCAATTCACTGCCCAAAAGCTGTGACAAGTGGTAGAATACGAGCCTTGAGCACAAAAGCTCTGGGACAGTGCCTAGGCCCTGAGTTCAAGCCTAGGACCTGCACACACACGTGTGCATGCACACAGAGTAAATAAAAACAGGGCTGGGATGTAGCGTAGTAGTAGAGTGCTTACCTAGCATGTTCAAGGCCTTAGATCCAGCCCCTAGCAATTATGTTTAATAAAATATTTAGATGAAAAAAAGGAAATAAAAGCTGTTGGGCATGCTGGTGCTTCCTATAATCTCAGCACTAAGGAAGCTGAGGTAGGAAGATTTTAAGCACGAGACTAGCCTGGGCTCTTTCTCTTTTCTTTTTTTTTTTTTGTCGGTCGTGGGGCTTGAACTCTGGGCCTAGGCGCTGTCCCTCAGCTCTTCAGCTCAAGGCGAGCGCTCTACCGCTTGAGCTACAGCGCCACTTCCCCTGGGCTCTTTCTCAAGAAAAAAGAAAAGGCAAATACAAAAGAGGTTTTGTAATTAGACAGACCTGGGTCTGAGTTCCAGTTGCCTCATTTACTGTGTACCCTACTAGTCTTTAGGACTCATTATCTCTATGTGTAAAGTCCATAATACGATTGAAGGGATTAGGGATGCTAATGGATAAAAGTGCTGAATGGAAAGCCTAGAACATGGAAGCCAAGTTACATTTGCCATCTGCCCATCTACCAAATATTTGCAGGGGGCTTATAATGAGCCAGAAACTTCTCTGGACACTTGGCACAGGGCAATCATCAAAAACAAACTTGTGGTCAACATTAAGTTTGTATGCAAATCAGAAAAAAAGACAATAAACAAACATAGGCCAGGTGGCTTCCATCCTGAAGCTAAATCAGATGATTTGATCTGAAACCAGCAGGCATCCCGGGCCAGGAACTTGTGGGGATGCTTTCAGCTTTCCTTTAAAGAGCTGATTGATAAGACTGGTTGGGAGGCAAAAAATAATCACACACACAGAGGAAGCCATTAAGCCTTTTGCAAATGTCAGGGGTCATACACACCCAAGAGCTGCCTAGAGAAGACATTACTAAGGGCAACAGTGAGGTATAAGTTAGCCTCCTTTCTCAGGCTTCTAGTCCAACAGAGGAAGGGATTTGCTTAGACCTAGAATCTGTCCCTATTTTGGGGATGCTAGTTCAAACTCTGCCTAAGCAGAAAGCCTTGGATGCTGTGAACCTTTTAAGCATTTGGGAAATGAACTGAGAGCTGATGGCTGTCCATACCAGGTTATAGAAATGACATTTGACAAGGCTTGGAAGGTGGCTTAGTGGTAGAGTATTTGCCTTGCATGCATGAAGCCCTGGGTTGGATTCCCCAGTACCAGATTAACAGAAAAAGCCGAAAGTGGCGCTGTGGCTCAAGTGGTAGAGCACTAGCCTTGAGCTGAAGAGCTGAGGGATGGCACCCAGGTCCAGAGTTCAGCCCCCATGACAGACAAAAAAAAAGAAGGAATGACACATGTCAGGCACCAGTGGCTCACGCCTGTAATTCTAGCTATTCAGGAGGCTGAGATCTGAGGATCATGGTTCAAAGCCAGCCCAGGCAGGAAGTCTGTGAGACTCTTAACCACCAATTAACCACCAGAAAACTGGAAGTGGTGCTGTGGCTCAAGCACTAGGGTGCTTGCTTTGAGCTGAAGAGCTCAGGGACAGTACCCAAGCCCAGAGTTCAAGCCTTGTGACTGACCAAAAAAAAAAAAGACTTGTTAGGCAAGGCTTTTCTTGGTCCAACAATTTACCAAGTCCCCGGATGCAATTTTACTATAAATCACTAACTCACCGATCTGGAAAATCTTGTTTCCACACATCAAAGATCTACCCAGATTCCAGCAAGGAGAAGAGCAATGCCCACCACCAGTGGGTTCTGCTGGAGGCCAAGGAGGTTCTGAAATAATGTTGCCTTTCTGAAAAGGATAAAAAAGGATACAGAGTTAGGAGTGCAGAGGAAGATAAACTGGGAGGTTTTACAGGAGGGAAGAGAAATGCTTATTGCTGAGTCTGTCAATTTACTGAATCAAATATTCCCAGCAAATTCAGAGGCCAGAACCCAGCTTAGTAGAAAGATGAACCAATGGTACAGGCTTTCAATGTTGAATCCTGATATCACAGATGCAATGAGACAGTAGGTCACACTATTTGGTGGTGACAGCAGTGTAGTGGATGCCACTAGAGTGCTGACCTCTCTCACATGGACTCCCTGTAGATTGTGTGGGATGACAGATTCTTTCAGTGTCTGGCACACAGGTGAGCCAGTAATAATTTGCTGTGACTTAATCTCTATAATAATCTTATTTCCTCTGCACTAATGAGAAAGTCACCAAAGGACAGGACCAGAATCTGAACCTTAGCCTGGACCAAAGTCCATGATGTATCCACTGTGTGGTTTGGCAGAGAAGGACCTCCACAGCTTTACCTGTAAACTGGACCCTCGAAACAAAAATAAGAAAAACAACCTTTGCTAAGGGCAAGGTATAGAACGGGTGGAGTTGCTTAGAGAAAGTAGCTAGAGAAGAGAGCCAAAGAATAATTTTTTTGGGGGGGATCAGTCGTGGGGCTTGAACTCTGGGCCTGAGCGCTGTCCCTCAGCTCTTCAGCTCAAGGTGAGTGCTCTACTTGAGCTACAGCGCCACTTCTGGTTTTCTGGTGGTTTATCGGAGATAAGGGTTTCATGGACTTTCCTGCCTAGGCTGGCTTTGAACTGGAATCCTCAGATCTCAGCCTCCTGAGTAGCTAGAATTACAGGCATGAGCCACTGGCGCCCAGATCCAAAGAATAATTTCTAAAGGATAGCAGTCAGATGTAGTGGGATCTGCACAAATAACAAATTCTTGCCCAATCTGTGAAATGAAGGGGAAGTCCAAGACAGGTGGAGAATAAAAGAGTTATTAAAAGGCAAGAGTCCTTTAACTTCAGACCATTGGGAGGAAGATTGGATTCTAAGATCAGGTCCAAATTAAAAAAAACCATCTACTTCTAGGCACTGGTGGCTCATAGCTGTAATCCTAGTTACTCAAGAGGCTGAGATCTGAGGATTGGGGTCCAAAGCCAGGACAGGCAGGAAGATCTGAGACACTTACCTCTTATTAACCATCCAAAAGTCAGAAGTAGAGGTATGGCTCAAGCGGTAGAGCATCAGCCTTGAATAAAAAAGCTAAGAGACATGCCCACGCCCTGGGTTCAAGTTCTAGTACTCCATGCACACATAATGCCACCCCACCAAAAAACCAACAAAACAAGAACCAACAAAACAACCACCCAAACACCTAACAACATTTACTTCCACTGGCTCCATGGCTGTGTATCTCATTTGTCTTGTACTCTGGAATAGTGTGTCCCATGATCCCATTTGGAGTTGGTTGCTGCCAGTCTCCCTGCTTCTTGTATTGAACATGCCACCTCTAGTTCCTATTTGGTCCACGTGACTTTAATTTCAGTGTGTCAGCTCTCAGTACCTGTATTTCCTAAGAAATCTTCTATGGAAAAACAAACATCAGAAAAATAGATCTACAGTACTACCATAATCAGATCCAAGTGGCTATTCTACTTTTTTTTTTGGTCCGGTTGTGAGGCCTGAACTCTGGGCCTGGGCGCTGTCCCTCAGCTCTTCAGCTCAAGGCTAGTGCTCTACCACTTGAACCATAGCGCCATTTCCAGCTTTTTGCTTATGTGGTGCTGAGGAATCGAACCCAGGGCCTCAGGCATGTAAGGCAAGCGCTCGTCCACTGAGCTACCTTCCCAGCCCGCTATTCTACTTTTTAAAGCTATCGCCTTCACAAGATTTAAATTCTGAACCACACTGCCTAATAAAAACTAGTGTTGAATGCCTCCTAAAGCTTAATCTATTATTTTGGAAGTAATGAAATAACTTTGGCAGGCAGCTAGTGAACATATCATCCCACCCATATTACTCAATTCTGGGCAGTGACATCACTGAGAAACTGAGCATTTTGTGTATTATGGGAAATGCAAGAGATAACTGTCTGAAATGCAAGCAATGTTAAGAGCTTGAACAGGAAGGACATAGCTAATGAGAGGCTAGGAAATGAGATAATCTCTTTTGTAGAATCATCTGATATTGAGGAAATAAGGAATTTACAAACGAGGGGACACAATGAAATTAACTGAGTAGAGCCATCCTTGGGGATCAGTAACCTTTAGACCTGGACTTAACAAGATGGTAGATGATTATGTTAGGGCTGAGCTATCCAGGAGTTGGTTTTTCTGACTTAAAACCTAGCTCCTAGGCCAGGGATGTAACTCAGCAATAGAGTGCTTACTTTTAATATGTACAAGGCCCTGGGTTCCATCCTCAGCACAGTGAGAGAGGGAAAAAAACAGTCTCTTCTTCAGAGTCTATTCTTAGCTCAGGTTGGTCTCAAACTCAAGATCAATCTGCCTTAGGCACCATGCCTGGCTTTAGAGGGAGGAAAAAAAAATCATAGACTGAAAAACAAACCAACGATGTCTTGTCTGGAGATTTTAATATATTTATTTCAAAACCAAGTTCTGTGAAAGAGCACACTAAATAGTCATATATCTTCTCTTCAACCAAAGACTTGGAGACAAGGTTCTTCAGATGAGCGCAGAGGCAATGATACATGCATTGAGTGGCAGTCTCAGCACAAGGTCCCTCACGGGCATTTCCAAGGTGAGCCTGGAGTCTTCTTCAGATAAGCCAACGAGATCCTGGGAAAGAATGGGTTGTGGTGGTGGGAGTTGGCATCATACTTTGTTGCAAAATTGCTTAAAAACAACTTCCCCTCCCCGCAACATACAACTACCAGCGGTTGTTATCTAGAACCAGTCCCCAACTCTGCTTTTGCATCCAGCCAATCTGTTCAAGAAGCTGATTCTTACCAAGAGACCTCTAAGCTGTTCTACAGTTAGCTGCCTTGAAGTCCATAATTGGGAGGTTTCCATGAGGAACCAAAAAAGGCTGCATTGAGCTGAGCGATTGAGGTCAATCTGTCATGGTCTGAGCAGTCACAATACACTGTTGCATATTTGGTGAATAAAACTTAGGAAACCAAGGCTGAATGTTAATTCTCAATGGCAGGTTTAGGTGGTGGCGAAAGCAGTATATATATTTCCCCTACTCTGCCTCACTCTCTGAGGCATGAATACATTTTCCTACTAATAGCAAAGATTCTGTCTTAATATGTGGCTGAGATTTTTGTAAAATTGCTAATCAGTGTGTAACACTTACCATGCTAGATTTGCAACCAAAAATGCTTTTTTTTTTTTGGGGGGGGGGAGTTGGAGAAAGAGTAATGGAGTGTGAACTCAGGACCTTGAGCCATGTTCCCAACCCTAAATGTATTTTTATATTTCAGCAGACTAAGATAAAGTTCTCGTTTTCCTTAAAGAATAATAAATTCATGTTTTTCTAAAACTGTAATAGTACAAATAATTAAAAAAATCTGATTATATATCAATCACATGTACCTTCAGATATGTGGTAACTATTATTCCAAAATTCTAGAAGTAACATGTCTTTAGTAGTTTTGATGTACAATTGCTCCATTAAATAAATCAGTATTAGGCTGCTGGTGTGCCTCTGAAGTGTGACCTTCAGACCAATGGCCCTCTATGTCTAACTGACCCAGAGCAAGGAGCTTAGAGTGGAATGCAAATCAACTTCATCACTAAGCAAACTGTGTGGTTCCACAGAAGATTTTTCTCCATGGAAGATACACTCTGCAGCAAGCTTCCTATCTCCTTATGAAACTATAAAAATAGTTACAGACCAGCCACTTTGAATAACAAGGTAGAGTATTGGGGGCGAGAGTCAAAGAAGAAAGAAAAAGGGAATTTGTGGTTCCATATGCAGAAAGGGGTCAAAAAGGGGGAGAAGCTTTAGATACATAAGATGTGCACACAAGAAGAGGAAAAGTGAGACCATGTTTTGTACAATGCATTTGTAAGGTCTCGATGAAGGGGCTTTCCCTTGTAAGTGGTTTTGGTGAGCACTCACCTCTGGTCCTTAATCATCAATGTATTCAAATGGTTCTGGAGGTTCTGGCTCTTGCTCTTCCTCCTCAATTTTCGGGCCATGTGCGGCTACAGGTTCTACCAGCTCTTCAATGTCCTCACTGGTGTCCTTCAGAATTATGATGCCCCCAATGGAGAGCTGAAACACAGCGCAGCATGAGCCTCACTCAGATTTCCAGATGCTCTACAACTTACAAGGGCAGGCAGGGACCTGATAAACGGTGCTCGGTGATTTGCCAGGAAATGACTGAGGGGAAGCCACACCAGGGTAAATCTTTACCCTGTAACTGCTATGTAACCCCTATGTAGTATTTAAAAACGTATCCCATGCTGAGGTCCCAGTGGCTCATGCCTGTCATCCTAGCTACTCATAAGGTTGAGATCTGAGGATCACGGTTTAAAGCTACCCTGGACAGGAAATTCTGTGAGATTTATCTCTACTTTATTATCAAGGAAATTGAAAATGGAGCTGTAGCTCAAGTGGTAGAGAGCTATCCTTGAGCAAAATAAGCTCTGGGACAGCACGTAGGCCCTGAATTCAAGCGCCAGGACTGGCACCAAAAAACAACCAAAAAAACCCAAACAAAAACTTTATCCCAATAGCTCTAAATGCAGCTCTATTTGAATGTTGCATCTCAACTTAGGAAATGTTTCCTACCCAAAGACCTAATGAGTAACCTTACTTTGACTGCAGGTACAATATTTATTATTCTTTTCCTGAGACTGGGATTTGAACTCTTGATCTGATGTTTTGGCTCACTGGCTTACACTTTCACACCTGAGCCACAGCCTCCAACCTTGAATGTTTATTATTTTAATCTGGCATTCCAGTGCATTCCTACTCAAGACAATAGCCTTTGACCACCATCATCATCATCTTGGAATTTGAACTACACACACATAGACACACAAAAGTAAAAAAGCTGCTACACCCTGGATCTGCCTTTAACAAGCTCTCAGTTGATATGAATCATTGATATGAACAGTATTAGAAACCTAAAATTATGAATAAATAGCATATTGGCCATCATTTTGGATCCAAGAGAACCATACACATAAAAAGCCAAGTTTCCCCCAGAAATTCCAGAATGATGGAGAAAATAACACAGCAAAGACACCTTCATGTTTCTTTGTAATCTCTTTAAGTTCTGTGATGCAAGCCAAGGAGAAGACACATGGGAACAAAAGAAAAGTAGATGGCCGGGGGCAATTCTATTTAGCTGTCTCTCAACATATTAGCAGAAGGTAAAACCAAACATCAAACTCTCTGACCATCTGTGGTGTGCTAATCTCATTCTGTTTGCTTGCCTGTGTCAAAGGAAATGGAAAGCTGTGCTCCCTAATTCAATCAGTCAATGCTGGTGGGCACATCTGGGAAAAGCGTATTTCTACCACAGCACATTCTGGGCAGGCAAAACAGCACAGGCTCATCAGTGAAATGACTCACATGCCTACAGCTGTCTCTGTAGTTGAACCTAATCTGATTTTCACTCTCCACCATTCTGCCCTGCCATGTTGCAAACCTGCTGTGCCTTTGTGAACTGCCAACTCCTTCCCCCTCCCAACACACACAGCCACAAATATGAGTCCATAACTCCTCAACAAGGTTGCTTTTCTTGAAAAAAAAAAATGCATTTTGTTAACAGACTCTGCCTTACTGCCAATTCCCAGGACAAGAACAGAGTTTATGACCACTGCCCTGATGTTCCAAGGCTTGAAAATTTAACCAAATGGAGACGAGCTTCTACCAAACAGAAGAGAATGCCCATGCACAAAAGGACTGTTTAGGCTTTGGAAACATGTAGCTCCAGGATATGACTCTTTCAACCCTAACAGGAACAAAAATAACCCAACTCAAATTCTGCAACAATCACCATAGCAATACAGGTTTACTAATGCTTCATAGCCTGGAGAGAAAGTTCACACTCAGGAGGGAATAAGATATAAGAACAACTGAAGACACAGACCAGAGCACATTTCCTATGAAGCAGAGGAGGACAGCACACAGCTGCCGACTCCACACAATCATCTAAGGAAAGATCTGATGACCTCGCCATTGATGGTGGGCATGGGACACCAGGAGTTCCTTCTTCACATACACACTATACACTGACATACAATATGTAAAGAACTCACACTTTTTTGGGGGGGAGTTGGTCGTGGGGCCTGAACTCTGGGCCTGGGTGCTGTTCCTCAGCTCTTCATCTCAAGGCAAGCGCTCTACCACTGGAGCCACTTCCAGCTTTTTCTGTTTATGTGGTGCTGAGGAATCAAACCTAGGGCCTCACACATGCAAGCCCTCTAACACTGAGCCACCTTCCCAGCCCTAAAACTCACTCTTTTAAGGCAAAAGTTTTAGTACATTCACAAATCTGGGTAGCGCCCTCTGCTATCTGACCTGATGACATCTGCATGAACCTAACAGTAACCTGCACCTTTCAGCGACCACTTTCACTCTCCTTTGTGCCCTGGGAAGTGTTGATCTAACTTTGGTCTCTATCAATTTGCCTATTCTAAACATTTCCTCTAAATGGAATTATGTATTATGCCTCCTTTTATGTCTGGCTTCTTTCACTTAATACTTCTGCAATGTCTGAACATACTATAGTTAAGTCATTACAATGGCTGCATAATATTCCATCATATATATCATTATGAATTCACTCATCAATGGATGGCCATGTGAGTTGCTTCCATTGTTGGTTGTTATAAAGAATGATCATATGAACATTAATGTACAAGTTTCTGTGCAGAAATACTTTCATTTTACTTGCACCATTTTCATGTACCTAAGAATGGAATTATGTTATAGGATTAGACTAAATTTGACTTTTTGAGGAACTGCCAAAACTTTCCCTTTTTTTTGAATTTTTTAATTAAAAATTTTTTCCCCCTGTAAGTGTTGTGGCTTGAACTCAGGGCCTAGGCACTGTCCCTAAGCTTCTTTGCTCAAGGCTAGTGCACTGAGCCATAGTGCCACTTCTGGCTTTTTCTACTTATGTGGTTCAGGGCTTCTTGCATATTAGGTAAGCACTTCACATTCCCAGCCCATAATTTTATTTTTAAAAATTGTATTTTTATTGTTCTTGTAAAGTGGATGTACAGAGGTGTTATAGTTATATATGTCAGGTAATGAGTCCACTTCTTTTTGAACAGTGTCACCTCTTCCCTCATCTTCTCCCAGTTTTTCTCTTCTAATCTCTCTTCCCTACAAGTAGTTCACATCAATAATGTCTAGTGAGTATCACTGCTGCATTTGTTCAACCTCTTTCCCACCATTTCTGTGCTCCTCCTTACACTCCCCAAAACAGACACACACACACACACACACACACACACACACACACACACTTGTCTTATATATAAGACAAAAGGTATGGAAATAAAAAGCAACAACAAAGGAAAAAAACCCAAAACCAAAGTAACAAAAAACCTTGTTTTTATTTCTCAGAGTTCCTAAAAGTTTTCTACAGTAAGTAATAGTTTATATGATTACATCCTTGCCAACATCTCTCTTTTCTCTCTAATCTACCTACCTATCTATCCATTCAAATTAATTATACTGGTATTAGGGCTTGAAACTCAGGGCCTCTTGCTCTTTCTTGGCTTTTTCTTCTGCTTTTTTCCTTTCTGTCAGTCATGGGGCTTGAACTTATAAGCCTGGATATTGTCCCTGAGGTTTTTTTTTGTTTGTTTGTTTGCTTTTTTCTCCCTTTTGTTCATGGCTAGTGCTCTACCAGTAAGCCACAACACTGTATCTGGTTTTCTGGTTAATTGGAGATGAGTCTCCTGGACTTTCCCACCCAGGCTGGCTTCTGAACTGTAATCCTCAGATCTCAGCTTCCTGAGTAGCTAGGATTATTGGCGCCTGGCATGGCCTTTTCACTCAAGACTGGTTCTCCACCACCTGAGCCACATCTCCAGTTCCAGCTCTTGGCTGGTTAATTGGCTATGTTTCATGGACTTTTCTGCCTATGCTGGCTTTGAACCCTGCTCTTAAGATCTTAGGCTACTAAGTAAGTAGGTTTACAGGTGTGTCTAGCCATATCTTATCTTTATGTATTGCCACTGATATCTCTGTTCAGGTTATTACTCAGTTAATGGATGATAACTCTGACAACTCTTCCTTAGTCTCCACTTCTGTTTGCACATCCACAGATGGATTGACTGTTATAGCTGTCTCAGAGTTATTTTGAGCATAAGCTCAACAATCACTGAATTTCAAATTGTAGTTTACCAGTGTGTTCATACAGCCTCATGGCCTTGAACATGTCTTTCTGATTTTAGTACTTTAAAACTCAAAAATGGGGGCTAAGTCTCTAAGAGGGTTCTGTGGCTGATGCCTTAATCCTAGCTACTCAGGAGGTGGAAATTTGAGGATTATGGCTCAACAACAGTCCAGCTAGGGAAGTCCATGAGACTTCTATGTAAAAAAATGGAAAGTAGAGGTGTGGCCCAAGTGGTAGGGTACCAGCCTTTACCCAAAGAGCTGAAGGACCATGTCCAGGCCTTGAGTTCAAGCTCTAGTACTGGGGCACATACACACATGCACAGTCACGTGTGTCCACATGCACACATACACAATTAAGTATCTCATGTACCTCAAGTATTTACTAGTTGTGTCTTAATATATCTGTTTAAGATATATCTCAACTGGCAAGAGAAATTCACAGATGCTGTAAGTAGAACATACCACTACAATGAAATGAGTTGCAGCTCAGACAGTGAGTACACGTCTTTGGGGGTTGTCAGTTTACTCAATTATTACTATAGGTGAGGTAATACTAAATCAGTGGAAGCACAATTTTAGGTGTTTTATTACCAACAACCTATTTAATGTTTACAGCATCCCCCAAAGTTACTTCCATATAAATTTCACCGATGAAGAACTGAAACACAAACAATTCAATAGCTTGTCTTGATTTCATGGCTAAGAAATTATCAAAGAGCTAAAACCCAGTTACTTCCACTTCCAGCCCTAAACCATTGCACATACACTATTTTCAGTTTCTTGCCTTTGTCTCTTGTAGCTGATAATCTAGTCAGGTCAGATGCTGGCTCATAAATGATGGTAAGAGTCACCTCTGACTTCTAAAAATAAGTTTACAGCAGGATGCTGGTGGCTCACATCTGTAATCCTAGTTACTCAGGGGGTGGAGATCTGAGGATCATGGTTCAAAGCCAGCCTGGGCAGTAAAGTCCACGAGACTCATATCTCCAATTAACCCCCAGAAAACCAGAAGTGGTGTTATGGCTCAAGAGTAGACTGCTAGCCTTGAGCTGAAGAGCTAAGGGACAGCACCCAAGTCCCATGACCAAAAAAAAGCTTACTTTTGTATAAAGATCTAGAAATTTCATCTATGAATCAGACAGACTCAACATCTGAATGTCTTTAATGATTCTATGGATGACTTATCATTTTGTAGGTTCAAAATATGGAACATAAAAACAGTATTTTGCTAAAGTTTCTGAAGCACTTTTAACACCAACATTCATCCTTGGGATAAACAATGATGAAGATTCTTCTTCCTCTAGAAGGCAATCAAATGTAACAGAGTAATCATGATGGTGATTACCTCCTAGGGTTTGGGGACTAGCTTATTTGATCTATGCCACAGCCTTAGTAGTTAGAGACACTCATCCCTGTTTTACATAGTAGAAAGTGAGGGGAAACAGGAATAGTATATGGGCTAAGGTCACACAGCCTGTGAGCACTAGAACCAAGGTTCAAACCCAGCATATCTGGCTCTACAGTTTAGGTTCCTAATCATCATGCCGTCTTAGCAACTTCTATACAAGTCTGTGGCACAAAAGGGAAAGAGTTTATAGGGTTACAGAGAGAAAAGCAAAGAACTTAAAAATCTAGATGAGGGGCTGGGAAGGTGGCTCAGTGGTACAGTGCTTGCCTTGCATGCCTGAGGCCCTGGGTTCGATTCCTCAGCACCACATAAGCAAAAAGAAAAAAGCCGGAAGTGGCGCTGTGGCTCAAGTGGTAAAGCACTAGCCTTGAGCTGAAGAGCTGAGGGACAGCACCCAGGCCCAGAGTTCAGGCCCCACGACCGGACCCAAAAAAAAAAATCTAGATGAATCAGGAAATGTCTTTTCTTTTGCTAAGAGTAGGTTTCTTAGTATAAGTAAAGTTGTTCCAATGTTTTGGGATTCAGTTTTCTGTATCATATCTACATGAGTATCCCAGTATCCCACTGGCATATACAGCTCTTAGAGCCACGGTTACTTACTGGTTTGAAAGGCTGGTATCTACAGGTCTCTGGCATGGTTAGGACTTTAAGCTGGGCAGGCATAACTCGAGCGGGATTATCCAATAACTGGAAGTTTGGTTCAGGCTCTTTTTTCTTCTCTTTTTCTTCCTTTTTCTCTGCCTCATCCTAGTGAGAGAAAAAGGCAACTCAATAAATGTTCACTTTTGTTCCGCATCAATGAATAATAGTCCACTTAGGGAGCAACTCCTAGGTACAAAATATAGTGGTAGATACAATGAAAGTATGAGTTAAAAGATACCAGACTCAGAGGAGGGAGAAAAACTTTGCATAGAGTAAGAAAGGTATCTGACTAGGTCTTAAAGGATTAGGTTTTTCTATCAGTAGAGATCAGAAAAAGAGGATCTATTGAAACAAAGGATAATCCTTCATTCTCAAAGGACTTTTCTTACTCCTAGCATCTTGATGGATGCTGAGAGTCCTACTCTGCCCCACTAAACTCATTTTAATTGTCATGTTGTCTAGGAACTCATTCCTGATTGGTGCCCTTTCATTCCTCCCACAAATGGATAATCTTTAGATTTTCCTTTCTAATAGCAGGATGTGAATCTGTATGCTGAGAAGAGAATAATTACATTTGTAAAAGTATAAACAAAGCATAATAATATTTAAATAATAAAGACTGGATCATGACAGAATTAAGATACATCTAACCCATACAGCCACTAAGGTATACCTACCACTTCCATTTTCTCTTCCTCCTTTTTTTCTTTTTCCTTTTCCTTCTTTTTAGCTTTGGCAGTAATAGATAACACAGCAGTAGAAACCTAGAGAACAAGGTAAATTATTGTGATCTTTTACCTACATATGACGACTCAAGCTCAAAGAGAATTCAGTACCATTTCCTGAATTCCTTTGTTTCCTGGCAGTAAGAATTATAAAGAACAACATAATTGGAGAATACATGGGAAAAGCAAGTAGGTTATTTACTTATATAACTTACTACTACTGTCATCAGGTGAATCTTGGTTCCTGGAGGCTATTTCCAACACAACACTAATCTTTTCTGATCTGTAGCCTAACCTGGATAGGAATTGCTGCCCTACTTCTCAGATAAGAGATCTGAGTGTTATATCCTTTCTTGCTTTATAGGGAAAGCTCTGGAGGACATAAAAATTTCCTCTAGTCTAGAGATGTTCTCATGACAGGATGCCTTGTAATGGCAATATACAGTGGATGACTAGTAGCAAACCCAAGGTGAAACAGGATTTTGGAAAGCTGAGCAATAAGCTAATGTGTCAGTACTTCAGAGAGGATCTAACACTCATGAATCTGGTCAATTATATAATTATTCCTTCTCACAAACCAATCTTATAGTAAATAATGTACAACTGGGTTATATGAAAGAATATAGCTAAAGAAAAGGACCATTTTCCCATATGTAAGTACCATGAAAGGATAGTTTTACTGGGTATAATTTCATAGGCAAGTGATGTCTTCTAAATGCATCTACCTTTATTACATTATCATTGAGTGTCCTATAAAGTTATTGCAGGAATATAAATGTTATATCCATTTTGAAAAGCAAATTAACACTTATACAATTACGAAGCATGCATTACTGTGGATCAAACAAATGCACAGTTAATTCTATCTCTGACAGGAAGATGTACTTGCATAAGTGCACAAGTATATGTACAAAAAAGAATTTTCATTTCATTTATAGTAGAGACAAATTAGAAATAATCTTAAATGTACACCAGATAACTTGGTAACATATATACTGCTCTGCAGCTTGTGGAAAAATACGATCTATATACACTGAAAGTATTAAGGCTATATTGTTAAAGGAGAAATAAGACAGCTTGTAAAAGAATGACTATGTATGTTGCACACAGACACACAGTGCAGATACACTTACACTGGCATGTGCAGAGAACACTTTCAGAGAGACAACAAGTTGGGATTCTGACAACATGAGACTTAGATACCAAGAAGAAAAGGATTAATGAAGTAAAAATAACCTCAATTAAAACACCATAGCTCCCCTAATAGGCTGCTCAAAGGAATAGGATCCTACCTTTTCCTTTTCTTTTTCTTTTGGAACTTCCAGAGGGGCAGGATATGCAAATGTGGATGGTTTACAGTTTGATTTATACTGAACTTTCGGCATCTGAAGAAATGAAAGAACTTTGTAAATAAGTAAAACAAAAATCTCCATTAAAACAACTAGCATCAAGATTTAAGTTCTATAAGTGGCGCTGTGTCTCAAAGTGGTAGAACACTAGCTTTGAGCAAAAGAGCTCAGGGACAGCATCCAGGCCCTGAGTTCAAGCCCCACAAGTAACCAAAAAAAAAAAAAAAATCCAAGATTTAAGTTTTACGTTTTTAGCAAGCATTCATATGGAAAGGACAGCAGTTTCCATGCAGGTTAAAAGCTAAGGGATTGGGAACTGATCCCAATCTAAACACATAATATTCTTATTTAGAGAAATAAAAACATTTACAAAATATAACATATAGTATAACAGTAAAAATATTTATAGTTTTAATAGTGAAATTCTTAACAAAGAATAACTGAACTGCACAGCTATACTGAAAAATCAGTATGATGTAATACTCAACCAATTAATTTTGTAGCCTAAAAATTTTCCACTCTGAAATGTAATGAAACATTTTAACATTGGTGATGACCAGACGTAAAAGTTATTTAAAGGGAAAAAAGCCTTGGATCTTTAAAGAACAAGATGAATCATTAGGGTCACAGGACTGAGAAAGATCTACATATAAACAAAGCTCATTAAAAAATATCATAGAAAGGGCTAGAGACATGGCTCATGTGGTAAAAGTGCCAGCCTTGCAAATAACTCCAGCAACTTCCTGAGTTCAAACTCTAGTACTGGTGAAGAGAAACAATTTAAAAAAATGTCCCATAGCACCTTAGATTTTAAAAACCTACGTAACCAGCTTCATTCTATCTGAATTCCTCATTGTTGGTCTTTTTTTTTGCCACCACCAAAGGGAAAATCCTCTTACTTTACTTTCTCTCTGGTAGTAACTCTTTCATCAGCTACTCTAGTATTATGGAATTTTAAAAGGTGTATTTGTCTCAAGTCCTCTTTTATTAATTACTAAAAATTTACTTTAAGTCTACTTTCTTTCTTCCTTCTCTCCCTTCCTCCCTCCTTTCTCTTTTTCTTTTCCTTCCTGATTTTGTGATGGCCCTGGGTCTTGAACTCAGGACTTGGGTGCTTTCCCTAAGCTTTTTTGTTCAAAGCTAATGCTCTACCATTTGAGGCACAACTCCATTTATAGCTTTTTTGGTGTTTAATAGGAAATAAAGGCTTATGAACTTCCCTGCCTGGACTGGCTTTGAACTGCAATTCTCATATTCCAGCCTCAGGAGTAGCTAAGATTACAAGTATGAGCCAGCATTGCTGACTAGTTTAGGTCTTTATTCCTTCTTTTAATTTCTGGTCACTCATGGGGTTTGAATTCAGGGCCTGGGCACTGTCTCTGGGCTTTTTTGCTAGCACTCTATCACTTTAAGCCACATTGCCACTTTTCGTGGTTAACTGGAGATAAGAGTGTTGTGGGACTTTCCTGTCTGCTGGCTTCAAACTGTGATCCTCAGATCTCAGCCTCCTGAGTAGTTAGGATTATAGGCATGGGCTACCAGAGCCCGGCTCTAGCTTAAACCACTATAACAGCTTCATAGCTTGATACCAAAATAATCTTCATAAAATGTAAATCTCATGTCATTTATCTTATCTGATTGAAAATTTTCCAGAGCTCTTACCACCTTTAGGATTAAATAAAATCACTTTAAGAGTGATCTATAAATCCTTTCCATATCTCTGCATTAAGATTTCTCTGTCACAGTTCCCTCTCAAAACATGTGCCACATGCTACACAGAGCTAGTCAGGAAGCTTGGTTTCCGAAAATTACACTAACACTTCCACTAAACAAGGTGATGACTCAAACTGAATGGAAAATACTCTACTGGAGATGAACTGCTCTTTATAAAATTTCACAGGAATCCGTGTGTGTGTGTGTGTGTGTGTGTGTGTGTGTGTGCGTGCATGTGTGTGTGTGTGTGGCAAAGATGAGGGCTAACAAACAAACCTTTAAGTCCTTGTTAAGGCCAATGACACAGGTAGGGGTATAAGCCAATGACAGGAAGTGTGAAAGAGGAAACCAGAACCAGAACTGGGTAAAGACAAGGACGCCAACCACAGAAGGCATATGAGTATGTCCAGTCCTGGACTGTAAGGAGATTGTGACGTTATGACCACCTGTAGAAAAATAGAGAGAGGCATGAACAGCAATCCAGTAGGCAATAGCAGACATTTCTAAGGAGTGTAGCAGGGAATCATGGTGCTTCAACAACTCAACAGGAAATCTAAAAGTCTACAGGCAGGCAGTTTTTATATTTAAGATGGAAGGGTACAAAAAATTTGATTCTACTGGGAGCCCCACTCCTGTAATCTTAGGTACTTAGGAGGCTAAGATCTGAGGATCAATCTTCAAATTCAACCCAGGGAAGATAGTCATGAGATTCTTATCTCCAACTAAACACCTTTCTAGAAAGCCAGAAGTGGAGCTGTGGCTCAAGTGGTAGCTTGAACATAAAAGATCAGGGGGAGCATCCAGGCCTTGAGTTTAAGCTCCAAGTCTGGTGGGTGCATGTGCCTGCTCACATGCACATGCACATCTAAACACACATACACACACACACACACATAAAATGATTTTAAATTAAACATTAGTATATACTATACAGTGGCTCCTAATATGTGATTAAAAAGCAATTTTAGTACATGTCGTATTTACAGGGGTAAAGGATAGATATTCTTGCCTATGTTTGCTTTTTCCACTTTAAGGTTTGAACTGCAGCATCTGAACTAGGTCACTTATTACTACCACTTGGAAAATTTTTGCTACTGATCCTTGATTCAATGAAACATTTCTAAGGAAACATGTTAAAAAAAAAAAAGAAACCAGAGTGAATTCTAAGAATCAGAAGTTTGGACTGGCTGAGGATGGCGGCACATGTCTATAATCCTGGCACGTGGAAGATGAGCCAGGTAGATCACAATTTCAAAGTCAGCCTGAGCTGTATGGGCTAGATATTAAGACCTCATCTCAAAAACAAACAAAAAGCCATATAACAGTGGCTCATGCCTGTAATCCTAGCTACTAAGGAGGCTGAGACTAGCAGTTTGAAGCCAGCCCAGGCAGAAAAGTACATGAGACTTTTATCTCCAGAAAAAGCTGCAAGTGGTGCTGTGGCTCAAGTGGTAAAGCACTAGCCTTGAGCAGAAAGAGGCTCAGGGACAGTGCCTAAGGCCTGAGTTCAAGTCCTAGGACTAGCAAAAACAAACAAAAAACAAAAGCCTTTAGGAACCAGTCAGTTAAACAAATAAGTAAAAGTTGGCTGGGAGAATTGAGGACTGAAGCAAACAGAAAAGTCCACGCCTTATTTAAACAGAGTATTCTTATAGGGCCGGGATTTCTAGATCATCTACTTAAAGACAGGGTCTTTATTTAAAGACCCAGGATGGCCTGGAGTTCACTATCCTCCTGCTTCAGCTTCCCAAGTTCTATAATGGGGGTGTCAACAAGGCATGTATTACCATACCCAGTTAATAACAAACCTTAGTCTTTGACTTTTCTTCCTGAAGAGACCAAATCTTTTAAGTTCTCATAAACTTGAGATATTACTTCTTATCTTATAACTTAGCAAAAGAGAGATAGAGACAGCTAAGAGACAGAAAGAGACTGCTAACAGGATTATATTCCACATGACTAGGACATAGAAAAAGAATCATACAAAATAACCATGAAGTAAATTAAGTGTATGTTAACTCTTTCCTTCTTAACTCATTGAGATATTACCAATAATAAAGTTAAGGAGTATAATAGATGGATCCTAATGTAATGTACTCAAAAAGACACCATTCTCTCCTTGAAAGAGATTATAATGTAGTGGCAAAAAAACAAATTCTGGAGCTAGATAGCATACTCAAAACACATACTAAGAAAAATTAAGCTCAAAACAGACTTAAGCAAACAAGCAAACAAAATGGACACCAGTAGTTTATGCCTGTAATCTTAACTACTTAGGAAGCTAAGATGACAGTCCAAAGCCAGCCTGGGCAGAAAAGCCCATGAAAATCCATCTCCAAAGATGACCAAAAAAGCAAGGGTGGAGGTTCAAGCCAACCAAACAAGCAAGTCAAGTGAGGCACCAAGAATTTGCCAGGCATGTGATGCTTGCCTGTACTCCCAGATACTTGGGAAGCTGAGGATGGCAAACTGAAGGCTAGCTTAGGCAATTTACCAAGACACGTTGCAAGATCAAAAAATAAATAAAGCCGGTGTGGGTGGCTCACGCCTGTCATCCTAGCTACTCAGAAGGCTGAGATCTGAGGACTGCTGCTCAAAGCCAGCCTGGGCAGGAAAGTCCGTGAGCTCTGATCTCCACTCAACCACCAGGAAACCAGAAGTGGGGCTGTGGCTCAAGTGGTAGAGCCCTCACCTTGAGCTGAAGATCTCAAGGACAGTGCGTAGACCCAGAGTTCAAGCCCCACAACCGACCAAAAAAAAAAAAAAAAGGTCTCTATGTAAGAAAATGGAAGCAAGAACGTGGAGGAGATTGGTAGAGTTGGAAAGATGGGGGAGAATGATGAAAGCGGTGACACTGATCTAGATGCGTTGTATTCACAAACTGGTATGTTGAACTGGAAACTTTGTACAACTATTTAGAACCAAAACTACAAAAAAAAAAAACAACAACTGAAAATGATTTCTGTGATCTGCAACTAGAAGTATGTACATAAACGTTCTCCAGAAATAATCTACTTTAGACTCAATTTCCACTATGGCACATAATTAGAATACTAGGTAGTTATTTCATAAGATTTGGTTTAAATAAATACAGTAAGCAAGTAAGTATATATGTACATCTGGAAGATGAAAAAACTCTTACCTGCATCCAGTATGCCCTGGGCCAGAATAGCGCCAAACTTGGCCATGACATCATCGTGTTTATCATTGATGACTTTGGAATATAGCTGTCTAAACTGATTCACCTGAAGGAGCAAGAAAAAGAACCATGGTCTAACTCTATTCATCTATGGTATCATTTTAGCTCACTCAGTAAGTTGCTCAAATGGTGAGACTGAGTTCTGAATTTCACAACATTTGGAAGAAATGAAGATGGACCAGACACGAAGGCAGAGCAGTGCTGTGTTTGACATCATGAGTGTTATTATGATTATTTAGTTGGGGGCATTCGGTCTGCTTTCAATCATCACCTATGCTGCACAATTCAGGGGCAGAAGGAATGAATATGATTTCATTCTACACTGTTAGCTGTCGATGGCTTTGATTTTACTTGGAATTACAGCTATGGTGCTTACCATCAACCTTATAGATTTCCAGCAGTTTCACCTTCCTTCAGTTCTACCTTAAACTACCCTTCCCTGAGCTATGTGAGGTTAGTGCACTTGCAAATACACGGAAGGTTTTCATTATGCACACACATTAATTTTCTGTGGACTTGAGAATCAGTCCTCCTATTTAAAGGAACACACCAAAACACACAGGGTGAAATTTCTAGCAATTTTTGTTTCCTTTTTTTTTTTTGGGTCCGGTCATGGGGCCTGAATTCTGGGCCTGGGGCGCTGTACCTCAGCTCTTCAGCTCTAGGCTAGTGCTCTACCACTTGAGCCACAGGGCCACTTCCTGCTTTTTTCTTTTTGCTTATGTGGTGCTGAGGAATTGAACCCAGGGCCTCATGCATTCGAGGCAAGTGCTCTACCACTGAGCTACCCTCCCAGCCCTTGTTTCCTTCTTTACTCTTGTCTGTAGCTTCTGAAATATGGTATTACTTTCATAATAAAAATGTTTATAAAGTATGTTTTTGATAAATAAAGTAAGTGGTTCCTTTAAATCCATTTGGGTGGCAGCAAGGGAACTACTTTATGCTTCTTCCATGTCTGACACTTTGTTTTCCCAACAGTGCTTTTCAAATGGTAGGCACCCAGGAAGAAGTCTGCTTGTTCAAGAAGCACATGATCATGGAGCGCCCCAAATCTGCCAAAAGCAGAAAATACTACATTTGAGTTTCCTAATAAAATGACTTAATCTACAGCATGTGTGTGTCTGTGTGTGTGTGTGTATTTTTTTCTCCAAGAATCTATTCTTCCCTTCTTCCTTTGTCTTAGTGTGAGAGGCCCAACAAGGACAGAGCAATATTCAGAGAACTCTATTTTATGACTATCATTACTCTTACAAGCCACTAGAGTAAATCACTAGCTTTTCTTCTTTTTGCTGAGATAGGGTCTTGCAATGTTGCTCAGGCAGGTCTTAAACTCCTGAGCCCGAATGATCCTCTTATCTTGACTTCCTGAGTAGCTGGACTATATTATACATATTATATATATGCCATTACATCTGGCTGATCACTAGCTTTTCTGAGCCTTAGTTTCTTCACTTCTACCTTACTTACCTATTTAATTACTTGAGGTAACATATATATTGTGATATGTACAGTCATCTTATCCTTCAATAAACACAGCTGTCTTACCATATAAGGATAAAATTCCACTTGTCCTTCTTGACTATTAATTCTGCAACCTAAATACTGCTAGATTCTGCAAATAAAATACTGTTCTTAAGCATACTTCTCATTTTTTATTCACAGGCAGCAATAGATTATAGTGGAGGAAAAATAATGAGATGTCACTGCAGAGAAAATAACCACTTCCCCAGGTCATACTTTAACTATAAAACCCAGAATGATTAAAACATCACTAAACTCCCTTTTAGTTTTAAAAATTCTTACATTTGATGTTTTACTCTGGTTCAACAGGTCAAATTCCTTTGATCTGGAACTTATTTTAGATGAACACTTACATTACCTTATATAGGACAGAAATTTATGCGTAAAGGCTTATGAAACATTTCATGAACTTATAAAACAGGTTTATCCAATTAATAGTAAAAAGCTAGTTTAAATTTTTTATTAGTTTATATATATATATGTGGAAGGATTTCATTGTGATATCCTCCACATTTGTTTACACTGCACTCCAATCAATTTCATTCCTCAATCATGTTCCCTACCCCAGTCCAGCCCGCAAATAGCATTTCCAACAAGTTTCCTAGTTTTGTTTTCATAATGCAAATAATCTATTTGACAGTATTTGACTTCCCCTCCTAGACCAGTCTGTTCCAACTGGTCCTCACCCATCTACCTCTATTGAACAACAGCTTTTATTGAATTAATTCTCTATGATGCTCTCATATATGAAATATTTCCTTGCATTTTTACCTTAGTACATTAGAACAGTGTCTGAAGTTCAGAAGACAATTTGGAGATAACCTGGTTTACTCCCTCTGTTTTCAGATGGGAAGACTGACATAAACAGTTGGCAAGTTGTTTTTCTAAGACAGACCATAGGCCAGAAGATCTTAGGCAAGGAGGAGCACCAGGTCTTTTTTTTTTAATATTGTATTATTCAATATAAAATACTTACTATGTACATGTTCAAATTAATTAAATGTAGACTTATTTTAACAACTGGCCATCACAGATGACCACGGTAATCAGGATGAGGATTACAACTTTCTACTTAGTGTCACTGTATCTCCTCCCCTCTCCCCCATAACATAAAGTAGAATTTGTAGGGAAAATAATATTAATGCCTCATTTAATATTATGATAAACTTAGGAAAGGCAATGAAAATTTTAAGTTACCCTGTGTTCTATGTTTTCCATTATGTATAAATATCTAAAATATACCTTTTCTAAAATCCTGCATTTTCAGTATTCACCATGTTCTAATTTTTATGCCTTACATTGAATAAAATCTTCTCGATGTCAGGCAGAAAGGAACAAAATTCTTTGGGATCATTAGGGATTTTTGCTGTTTCTTATCATGTGAGTTAGTCTTCTACTTTCTACCTTTTTCTTTCTTCTTGACTATAGAAATGAATCTGCCTATCAAGAATCAGTCTGAGAATTTAAATTGTTTTCTCTCTTTATGACATTACATTGTTGTGTGTTACCTGCACCATACACATATAATTCCTTCTACAAAATTCTTTTTTTTAATTTAATTTTTATATTTTTATTGTGAAAATAGTGTACAGAGGGGTTACAATTACATGGGCAAGATAATGAGTACATTTCTTATCAAGCATTGTAGCCTCCTCCTTTGTTTCCCCTTCCCATTCCTT